TTTTAAATGTGGGATATGAGAGCCTGTAAGGGAGAAGGATGAGACTGGGATGAGGGGCCTTTAGGAATATGACAAGTAATTAAAAAGAAGGGAGGAAAACCAATTGAACTAATCTCCACTGAAGAAGAAAAAAAATGATTCAAGTTTCTAACTACTTGTGAGATAAAATGAGATTAAATGAAAAAACATTTTGAAAGGTTAAAAGCACCATTCAAATGCAAGGTGGATTTTGTTGCTCCATGAATCATAGGGAAGACAGGAGGCCGCCCAGATTAAAGGTGTAAACTCTGTGATTCTTTCCTGGCCATGATTGTTGCTTTTCTTTCCCAGGATGGTCCAGCAGGCGACATGGAGCAGATCGACGCTTATTTAGAAGCTTTGCTTAAAGAAGATAATCTCCTTTTCCAGAACACTTAAATAAAGTGACTATAGATATAGGACATAATCTTCCTTTTGAAAAAAAATGAAAGGACTTCTCAAAATTAAAAGTCAGAAAAATTATTCCTCTTTAAAAAATGCTAATAAGAAAATTGAAAGATTCTTTTAAAAAAAAAATCCATTTGTTGTTATTGTAAAGTTTGCTCTGTTTAACTCTAAGAAAATTATATACTTTAGAAATGAAGACCAATTTACAATTTGTATATTCCCCAATCCTATTTCTTAACTCTTCCTGTTCTTTCAGGAATAATTTCTAGAACTCTCTAATTCCTATGTGAGCTACCAAGAAAAATGAAAATATCATGTAAACTTAAATTTTGTTTTTACTTAAAAGATTGTAAAAACTCGAAAACTAAATCAATACATACAGGACAACAGAATCTTCTCCTCTTGAAACATGTTGAAAAAGACATTGTGCCCTTTTTCTGCCACATCCAACACTCAGTAAAGCACAAAATGTAAAGCCCGAAAAAAACTTTGGGATATAGTTTATATGTTAATTTCATTATTTACTTATAGGAAAATAAATCTCCTAAGCATAATATGTATATATAAATACACATATATAAGAATCGTGTTTTTACATTTATACCTATGTAAGGAATTGTATTTTTATGCTTTTCTTGATAACTTTTGTTTGTTTAGAAATGTCTGCAACTTTGGACAAAAACAATAAATCATTCGATAGTTATTTCTGGAATTGTATAATTTTAATTCATGTACATGAACATAGTACAAAACTCAGGTTATGAGAAATGGAATACAGTGAAAAGTCTTCATACCATTCTTGTCTTTAGCTGATTAGCTACTCTTCTCAAGAGGAATGATTTTACCAGTTACTTTTAAAGTGACCTCAAAACAGTCATTATATATAAAACTATATAAATCATCATATAAATATGGATATGGATGTAATGGCATTCAAAAGATGCTGTTGCTTTGTTCCACTCAATGTACCTTCAAGATCATTCCATATCAGTATCAGAATATCTAATAATATATACGTACTGAAAGATAATGAGGTTTCTATGCACACAACAGTGAATATCCTTATAAATATGTTCATTTCACACATGTACAGTTATATCTGACAAGTAAATCTCAGAACTGCTGGGTCAAAGGTATGTGCATTTTATTATTGATAGATATTGCCTAATAGCACTACATAAAAATTTTAATGTACGATCCACTTTTCCAGCATTTGTTTGGATGCCTGTTTCCTCACATCTTCACCTACCCAGTGAATTATCAAACTTTCTTATCTTGTTGATCAAATAGGTGAAAAATGGTATGTCCTTGTAGTTTTAACATACATTTCTTATGTTTTGAGTTTAATTGAGCATCTTTTCATATGAGGTTCAAGGAAAAATTCATATTCTCTTTTAATTCTATTTTTCCATAAATTTTTTGAAGTACCCTTGTATGTTTAAAAGTCATTTGAATTTTTAAATTTGGCCTTTGTCCATTTTTCTATCTAATGGTATGTATTTTTCCTACTGATTTGTAGCAACTATTTTCTCATTAGAGGAATTATCTTTTTTTAATAATATGTATTACAAATATTTTCTTATAATTTCTTTAATGTTTTTATGGTGTTTTAAGTCACATGGGATTTTTTAAAGATTTTGGTTTAATTTCCTTTTGTTTATGGCTCCTGTAGTCATATTTAGAGAGGACTTTTTCATGCTAAAATTATAAAACAATTTTATTTTGTTTTCTTATACTGAGGTTAATAATTATTTTGTTAAACCTTTGATTCATTTAGAATTTATTTTGGCATAAGAAGTAAGTTAGAAATCCAGCCTCATGTGTGTGTGTGTGCGCGCACAGGTATGTGTATTTCCAGATGGCCACAGCATTTTCCCAGAATTATTAATTAAATAATCAATTTATTCCCCACTGATCTGCAATGCCACTTTTATTGCACATTAGATTTGCATTTATATTTGAGCCTGGTTCTAAAAAACAAACCAAAAAAACCTTCTTTTTTTTTTCCATCTAGTGTTCCATCTTTTCTCATACTGGACCCATGTTGTTTTGGTAGGTGTATTAGTCCCTTTCCATTGCTTATAACAAAATACTTGGAACTGGGAAATTTATAAAGACCATTAAATTTATTGCTTACAGTTTCTGAGGCTGGGAAGTCCAAAGTCCGTCTGGTGGTGGCGACAGTGACCCAGGCATCTCACATTGCAAGATGATGGAAGCAGAGAGAGCAGAGAGAGAGAGACAGACAGACTCTCCTTTTCTTTTAAATCCCTCCAAACCACGCCCCTGACCACCTTTTTTAATCCATTCACTACTGAATGGTCCTACAATCCAGTCACCTCTTTTAGGCTCCACCCTTCAGTTACCATAATAGGATTTCCCACCCTCTTACCAGTCACCGTGGGGGCTAAGTTTCTAATACATAAAACTTGGGGGGCACAATTTAAGCTTTGATGAGTTCTGAGGGGACGTAATTCAATCAACTACAGTAGGGCTAGTTAATAATTTTATTTTTTAGAATTTTCCTGTGTATCCTTGCATGCTTAATTTTCATTCAAAATTAGAATTAGCTTTTTTAGTCACAGCCATCTCTGAAATTTTATTTGTATTTTCCTGGGTTTGTGGTGATAGTATACATTAATGTAAAGAGAATTGACATATTTTTGGTGTCAAGTCCTTCTATCCAAGACCAAGATATGCCTTTCTTTACATTCTAGTCTTCATTGGTGCCCTAAGTACCATTTTAAAACTTTCTTCAAATACATCTTGCACATTTCCAGTTATACTTACTGTAATTACTTAAATTTATTCTTTGGCCTGTTATAAATGGAGGCTTTTCCCCATTATTTTATGACTGGTTAATGTTTTATACAGCGAGACTCCTGATTTCTGGATATCAGTATTGTATTCAATATAAGATTTCCCATACTAAAAATAGTTTTGAAGTTTTTCTCTACATCAGCAAGTATCATTTGCAGATTTTTTTTAAAGCCTAATTTTTATGAAGAAACTCAGTTTCTGGATCTCAGGTCCTTGTATTCTTCATCTAGCCAAAGTTTTCCTTCCCCTTGAAAACTTTTATTGCCTTCCTCTACCATTATCAGTATCCATTTCTTTTGATCCAAAAATTGGTAATTAATAAATGTTAATGGTGACAAGAAGTCAACACCTCTGAGGATGCTTCTGGCAGACATTTAGAAAGAATCTGGAGAGAGTCTTCTCCACAGAGTGGTTTTTGAAGATTCCGACAGGATATTCCTCCTATTCCTAGTGAATAATCCCCAGGGCTGAGTCTTCACTATCTCATCCTCGTTCTTTTTAATCCGCATGAGAAATCTTAGCCACACGAGTGGTTTTGAGTAATACTTCCCGAATGGATGTGTTCCAAATTCCTATGACCTTATTGAACACCTGGTATTTAACTGTAATTATGAAATAGAAATATCTTATTGAAAGTTGACATTGATATGTTTGAAGCAAAATTAATCATTTTCACCCTAACCATTCCACTTTCTGTGAAGACAGCTCACTTAGGTCCCAGTGGCTCCAGTTCTTGGGGAACCTGGGAATTTAAACAGGTAATTGGTCAGGACTGAGGAATAGGGAGTGAGGCAGGGACCAGACATATGAACTGAGCCAAAATGGGAACTGGAGAAAGAACCGAACGAGGTTAGGAGAGGAGAATTAGAATTTAGGAATAACAGAATTAAATTATTTCCACCTAGTGTCATCCGGTCTTAAGTGTGGTTGGTAGATAGATGGCTTGAGGACTACACAAAGCAATTCGTTCCCATTACTGTACCACGGATACAGTCCTTAAGTTCATTGACTCATTTCTCAACTGGGACTTGGTTAGGACAAGATTCACTCAAGAACTAGAATAAGATAAGTTAGCAAGCCAAGGATATGTATAGATATAGACTTGAGAGACAGAAAAGATGGGAGCAGAACAATGCCAGAAGACACAGTCCAATATTTCCCTTTATCTTCAGATCACACTACTGACTACTGCATCTACAACTCTTCTTACTGCTAATATCTGATCATCTCTACTTGTTTTCCTCTCTTCTACGTAGACTTCCTTTTAATTTAGCAATACTCCTAATGTGTAATTTTTCCATGTAAAAAGCTTCTTCATCTAAATTTATCTTTACAATATTCAGGTATGAGAAGGCAGATAACTGTTTTACAGATGGGGAAACTGAGACTTGAAAATCTAAATAATGTTTTGGTATAGTTAGTAAGTGGTGGAATAAAGCCTAAAACCCAGACTTCCTGATTGCAAATCAAAGTTGCTTCCATTAGACCCCCTGTACCACTCAATAATGTAGGCATAATTCATGGCTAAAAATATGGCAGAATTACACTGTCTAAAATATTGCCTTTTTCCTTCACAGAAAGCTCTGGATGGCTGTAAGCACAATACCATTAGTTAGTTGTAAGTGACCTTGTTTTTAAAACTGTGCAGATGAGTTAATCTCGCTGGCTTTCTATTCTTATTTAGCCTGTAGCTGTAAGAGGTTTAGAGTAGCTTTCCAAGGACATATGTTGGCTTGAAGTTTTAGCATAGAGTGAGGGACTAAATCCAAAGAGAATTTACAAGAAAACAACCTAAGAAAAATCTGTAGACTGAGTCACGATGGGGAATAACAAATCTATGGCTGGTGGCCAGACAGCAATTCATACACAAGAGACCTACGTGTGGTACAGAACATTCATGACGGAATATCCATCCGGCCTGCAAACACTACATGAATTTAAGACACTTTTGGGTCTGCAAGGTCTGAATCAAATGGCCAATCAGCAAGTTGATCAAGTTTATAATACCTTTGATATGAACAAGGTAAGACATTTTACTTGGTATGAAAATGCTATGGTTTTCATTCCCCCCTCCATTTTTTTTTTCCCTATAAAATAGCTTTAGGTAAAATGTGTGCATCCCACTGCACGGAGAGGTCTTCAGACAACCCACAGCTTGTAGGTGAATCATTAAATACATTTAGCACTGATGGCATGAAAATAATTGGGAACTAGACTCTCCACCCTTGGAAATGTTCTGCATGTAGGGAGTTATTTTAAAACCAAATTAAATCTCGGCATGGAATTCTAATGTTATCGTATAAATAAATCTAATAAGTGCAGATTGCTTTACAAAGACTGTTTTCAAAGTATTTAATGGATTGGTGACATTTTATAAAAAAACAATTACAGGAATCTGTTTTTAAAAGTATGATTGCATCTAGATTGGCAGATAAAATCAATACAAATTAGCCAACATTTCTCTTCTCAAATCAAAAGTTAGAATGCTTCATAATACTTTTCTTTTCATATCTAACCAATTTAGTTTGGGAAAAATTAAAACAATTTATGGTTTTACATTCAAATAAATTTTAGTTTCTAAAGACTGTTACTCAACTGTTGTCTTGAATTTACTCATTCTCAAGGAAATGCAGTGCAATTAATTTCATTTCTTGAAAAAAATACAAAGATGAGAAGAGAAAAAATATGGAATAGAAACTTTAAGACAAAAAAAAAACCTGAAATACTAGGGTAAAGTTCTGCCTGCTTTTCCTTGTGTGTTTCTGTCATTTTACCTGTAGACTTGTATATTTCAAAATGTGCAGATGCCAACTAGAATAAAAGGGAAGGGGGAAATACTACTAATGGAAAAACAGACAATTTTAGAAGACTGTGCAAATGAATAATAGAAGGGAAAGAAGGAAAAATTAATCAAATAAAATTAAAAACAACTGGCTGTCCATTAGGACATGGAATTTAACGTAATCCTTTGGGCCCTTTTCCAAAGCCAAAAAACGGGTGACTTTAAAGGAGATAGCAGCCAGGAACTGGGGAAAAGTAAACCTGTGCAAAATTAACAGCTATGTTGTCCATTAGGACATGGAATTTAACGTAATCCTTTGGGCCCTTTTCCAAAGCCAAAAAACGGGTGATTTTAAAGGAGATAGCAGCCAGGAACTGGGGAAAAGTAAACCTGTGCAAAATTAACAGCTATGTCTTTTTAGGATATTATGGTCTTTTGTGCTGTGTTATCAAATATGAATTAATGTTTAGCATGACTGTGTTTTCCTCCTCTTAAATTGTGTTAGTGTAGATGCAAGCAAAAGGAGACCTGCCCCCAAGGAGCTTACAAATCATTGGGAAAATGAGAAAGATTCTGCTTTTGTTCTTAACCCTGAACTATGGTCCAGATACTGTACATGTTGCCATGTTGTTTCTATTCGCCTCTGCCTAAGAGGGTATTTCTCATCTCTCAATCTATTTCCACACCTGTCATCCCTGTCACTCTGTGTGGCTGCTGCTGTCCCACTGTCTGCTGCAAGCAGCCCAATCTCAGGATGGAAGGCGGTTGCTCTAGACAGCTGCTTCTCAGGCCCTGGCAGTACTCCTGAGAGGTTAGAAGAGCTATTATCAAGTTCTTTAGTTAGCTGTTCTCCCAAGGTGTTGCTGTCATATCTCATGCCAGAGATTTTTTTGTTAGCCCAGCATTTGTGAATGCACTGTGCGTGTCAGTGGTTCACTTGCAAGAACAGGAACACGTGAACAGAAGGGCTAGGTGGAAACCAGGATCTGCTCTAGAAATGAAGCCTCCTATCAAGAAAGCAGGGGCAGACAGTGTCCAAACAGGCATCTTGGTGTGTGTGTGTGTGTCATTGGTGTGAGAGCCCTCTCAGTGTCTGTCACAAGAATGGCCAGACCCACCTCAGGAGCTTAATTTTAATGGCTTGGAAGTTCTGCTGGTATTCAGAATTTATCACTGAGATTTTATGTTTGCTTGGGAAGCAAGAGAGCTTGAGCAGTGATGACAAATGCCACAAAAGGTGTGGGGATCTCAACATAAAATCACATCATAAAATGAAAGGAGTGAGGATTGTTTACTATCAAGTGATTCTAAGAAATGCTATGCAATCATGCACAGGAAAACAAAAAAACTCATATATGTAGTTACATAAATCATACAACCATCAGCTGTCCAGAATCCTCAAGAATTTACTATTTCTATGGAGCTTCTCAGCAGTTTTCTTTTTTTTTTTTGAGTTCACTTTTTAAAAATTATTTTTTCTTTTTCTTTTCCTTTTTAAAATAAATTTTATTGTGTATGTTGAAAATATACACCGTGATGTTCTAAAATATGTATAGATAGTAAAAAGGTTATTATATAGTGAAGCAAATTAACATATTCATCATCTCACAGTTACCCATTTTTGTGTGTGTGTATGGCAAGAGCAGCCAAACTCTATTTATTTAGCATGAATCCCATATGCAGTACAATTTTATCAACTATAGACCTCATGCTGTACATTACATCCCTAGATGTGGTCATCTTACATATCTGCTGCTTTGTATCCTCTGACCTACATCTTCTGATTCTCCCCACCTCCCCAACTGTTTTGTTCTCTATCTCTGTATATTTTATTTTATTTTATTTTACATTTCACATATAAGTGAGATCAAGCAATATTTTTTTCTTTTTATTTTAAGTATTCTTGATGGAAATTGTTCTAAAACAAATTTCATATTTTCCTGCCTCCTCAAAGTGTGGTAAAACATTTTCTTGATATATCAGAGTCATTGTTATGAACATCAGCTGTTACATTTTATGTAATAATATGAGGAACCTGTGCCCTATTGAAGTTTTTGGAGCTAAGTTTCCTAATGTTAGAAAGCCTGAAAATTTGTGCTTTTGTCATTCAGTTTATTTTTTTATTATTTTTTCTGTTCCTTTTCCTGCTTAAAACTTACATTTTACAGCTTTCTGATTGTTATAATATTAAAAAGCTTTCAATCTCTTTTCAAGGTCCCATTTCTACCTTGGCTTTGGCTTGGTCTCAAGCTAACCAAGCCTATTAGAATAGTGCTTAAAGTTAAAGTAAATATATTCTGAAGTTTAAAGTATAAAATTTATAACAATTCCTTTGACTAATCACACAACATCGTGGGCTTCTCTTTTGCACTCAGTAATGATAGTTAATGCTTTCTGAGTGTCAAGGATATGGAGAAAAAGGAACCTTTGTACACTGTTGGTGGGAATGTAACTTAGTTGCAGCCATTATGGAAAACAATATGGAGGTTCCTCAAAAAATTAAAAATAGGACTACCATATAATCCAACAATTCCTCTTCTGGGTATGTATCCAAAGGAAATAAAATTTGTATCTCAAAGAGATATCAGCACTCCATGTTTGTTGCAGCATTATTCACAACAGCCATGATATGGAATCAACATAAGTGTCCATCGGCAGATGAATGGATTAAGAAACTGTGGTATTTCATTCTATGAAATATAACAATTCTGAAGCAAATATAGAAAAATGTTAAAATACACTATATGTGGGCTGTAAAAATATGTTTATTATCTTTTTTACATTTTTTTCTTTTTAAAAAAATTTTATCATGGGGAATGTAATTGACCAGTGCCCCATATAATTTGCACTGAAATCCGAAACTGTACTGTGCTGAGTCCATACTGCCTGGGCTTAGACTACCACCAGGGAGTGAGTGCAGCAGAAAAACTAAGGCCAACCCATTCCTAACCAGCAGGGGACTCCTGTCTGCAGGATTTGGCTCAAGGATTTCTTGGTGACTTTGCTCTACCTTAGGTTGTAGGAGTGTCTAAGGCACTGCTGCCCAACCTTCCTGCCCTCTCATCTTCATCTGGGTCAGGTTAGCATCCTCGTCTAACAGCCAGGTCGACATTCTCTGACTCCCTTCCTATTTCCTTCCACACAAGCATTTTTTCAAGTGAAATCCTTAAATTGGGATTAATATGTCTAATATCCTATTTAAGAGACTCACAGAAAAAGAGGCCAGAGAAAATATAAGATTATAACAAAAGAAACCAGAAAGAATTTCCAGACCTATCAGACACATGTTTCACAATGGCCAACGCAAGGAATAGAAAGAGAGCAAATTACAGCATATGTTGAAAAATTTTATAGCAACAGTGATAAGGAGCCAATCCTAAAGTCTTCAAGAAAGAGGGGAAAAAAACCCCAAAGAAATGGAAAGCAAAATAGCATTGAGCTTAACACTGACACCAGAAGCTAGAAGTAAGTGAAGAACTGCCTCTAAAACTCTGAGGGGAAATTACCAAGCCAAATCAAACATGAGAGAATAAAGACATGCAAAGACTAAACAATTTACTTCACACTTCTTTTTTCTTAGGAAGCTACTGGAGTAGGTGATGCAGCAAAATAAGTAAATACGCCAAGAGGGAGAGAGGAATCCAACATAGGAAAACAGATAAGGGCAGTCCAAGGATCATGAAGAAGGAAAGTCCAGATCAACAGTTATATGCTTTTAGAAAGCCCAGTGAACTACTAACCCAAATTGGAAAAAAGAAGAGGGACTCTGGGAGGAAGAGGGGGCAAAAAAATGACATGATGAATTAGCTACTATGTTTGAGAATTTCAAAACCAATATTTATTTAATTGGTATTTAACCAATCTGATGTGCATTTGAAAGGAAAACTACCACAATTTAAAATGAAGCAACTTTAGAATTTTTTATTATGAAAATTTTACACATACAAAAGTAGAGGGAATAATGAAATTTCATATACCCGTGACCCATCTTCAACGGTTATCAAAATTTTGCATTTTTTTTTCATTTGTCTCCCTTCCACATTGGTAGTTTCTGGATTTTTTTTTTTTTACACTTTATCAATTATATTTCCAAGAATTTACCACTTATATCTGTCACACATATACAGGAATATTCCTGGAGACATGACTTGTTAAAATGAAACAAACAAGCAAATTAGTTAACAAAACTTGGGAACAACTTGAGCGCTCATTTTCAGGAGAATGAATAAAGCAATTGTGGT